ATCTATCTGCCTGCAACATTTCCCCCTAGAGATTTCATCCCCTAAAATCTTTAACGTGTAGTTAGTGAAGGTCCATTTTCTATAACTGCTTCCTGCTGTCAGGTGACATGAATTTACCTACGTACGAGAATGAAAACTCATGCCAACAAAACATTAATGGGACCCAGGCAGGGATTTATTTGGTTTAAGAGTTTTTAATCTGAAAGAAAATCATATAGATTAGAAAACAATTTAAAAATATACCAGGTCCTTGGAGAGGAACACTTTCCCTAGCTTAAGGAAGGCAAAGTAGAATGTTTAAGGAAACAAGAAAATCATGGCCATAGAATAAGCTCATGTTCCTCATTTGATTGGAGGAGTCTCCTGTGAAAGATATCTTTAACTTTCTGCTTTTACTGACAACCTGTAAAGACTTGTTTAAGGTTAACAGATATAACCCAGTCAGACTTTAGTGTTGGATTTTCTTAAGAGAACTTTCAAGTTCTCAGTGACTTCACAGCCATAATTCGGTTCACTCACAGCAGTAGTTAGATTCACTCAAAGCAATAGTTTAGATTGACTCTCATAGTCAGCTTGCTGGATGACATAGATTGGAGCTGATTTTTATCTAAAGAGATGAACCTACCTAAAAGTCCATTAAGTTTAGCAGCAGTGGAAGTGCTTAAGATAACTTCAAGTAAGGTCGCTGCCATTTAGGCAATAGTTGATGGGAAGGGGATCCGGTTTTCCAGGATTTTATTAAGAACTAAACACCAGGCTGAATTTTGCTTGAGGTTAATTCTCTATTTGGGTGAGGCAAAAATAGTATTTCCAATTGCCTGCTCCACGTGCCATAAATTAATAACATAGTTATTTTTAAATTCTCTGAGTTCAATAAGAAGCTTGCCAGTAAAAAGGGCTAGTATACAAAATAATGTTAAAAAACATTTAATTCAATATAATAAAATGCCTATTATCATTTACACAAGTAAGTTTACAAATCTGGAGTATAAAATACATTTCATTAAATTTTATTTTGTACTTGGGAAAAAAATAAAGATATTTTACTGTGAAAAAAAAAAGGCTAGTACACAAGAGCTCAAAGATAATAAGCTGAAACTTTGCCTTAGGAGCTGTTCTGTACCTGAGAAGGGCTATAGGCAAAAGTGAGAACTAAGACTCAGAAGTTTATTGAGATAAGGTCCCTAATATCTTTTATTCAGGGTGTGATTAAATTCATACACTTTTCCTGATGATTTTTTGAAACATTTTGTTAAGTTACCATTGGGATATTAATTAGCAAAGCATTGAGTGTGCAAATTACTTTGGAGAAAAATGGCATCGTTACAATACTAAGTGCCTTGATATAGAAAAACAGTCATTTCTGTTTCCTTAATGATTCTCTTATGTGTTAGCAAACTTTGTCTCCCTTATTGATTTTCCTACAAAAAACCCATAGTATTTAATTATATTTGTCGTTTAAAAATTTCACTAGGCTATTTTTATTAATATTAAGTACACTCACTTTTTATTTATTTGATAACTTTTAGTTCTTTAAATTAAATTTTAGTTTATTCTTCTTTAGTATTTTCATTTCTAGAAAATTCTCTAAAGGTATACTTTTTTATTAATACTGTTTAGGCAATAACTTTGACATGTAATACTTAGTGTCATTATCATTCTTTCATTTCCTTCAGTTATGCCTAAATGATGAAGACTTTCTTTGAGACTTATGGAGATATTCTTGTTGCCTAATAACATAATTTGTAAGACTTCTTCCTGATTTGGAAATAATTTTTGATGACCATTATATGGGCAAAAATTTTGTTTTTATGTATTAAATTGAATGAGTCAATCCTATTATGGAAATAATCTATACCTTAGCTTATTTTTATTAATTTATTTATTAATTCTGAGAAATATGATAAAGTCTTACACTATGATCATGATATTATTATTCATTTATTATGTTTCATTTGTTTTATTGCTTTAATTTTTTATATTCCATTTTATATGCATAATATTTATTATTGTTACTACTTTATGGTCTACTGGCCATTCCTTCAGTGTGGCACATTCTTTAGTCACTTAAGTCTTTTATTTTTAGTTTTTTAAAAATTTTTATTAGTGAAACACCATGAGGTACAGTTGTAGACTTACAAATTTTTGTGCTTGGGTTTCAGTTATACAGTGAGCGAGTACCCATCCCTCCACCAGTGCCCATTCTCCACCATCACTAATCCCGGTATCCCTCCCACTGCCCATACCCCATCCTACCCTGCCTCTGTGTCAGGGCATTCCCTTTTGTTCTCTTTCTCCTTTTGGGTGCTGTAGTCACTTAAGTCTTTTAAATTAAATTTATTTTTTGTCTGATGCTATCATTACTATAATACTGGCTTTCTTTTCATTAATATTTACCTGATGACTTAAAAACATTTAGACTTTATTCTATTGTTTGTTTTAGATTTCTCTTGTATCCAATTGTAGATGAGTATTAAAATAATTTAATATGTGATTCTACATTTTTATAGTGAGTGACTTGAATTCATTCCCATTTCTTGTGATTGATGATACAGCTTGATTTATTCTTTTCATATATCTATTTTATTTACTATATTTTTGGCTGAAACCCTTCTTCAACCAGAACCTTGGTTCAAAATGGAATGGAAAGTGTTTTACAAATATTTATGGAATTTAGTTGATTTCCTAGATCCCTAAATTATTATCTGATTTGAGAAACAGTATGTGAAAAATAATTCAGTTGTAGTGGGTTGGGACTAAAGTTTAAATCATTGGTAAAAGAATTTTCAAGAAGGATTTAGTTATATAACTAAGTTCAAGAAGCTTTTCTTATTCATATTGATTTTATATACAAGAATTTGATGTTTTCTAAACTTTCACCCTGATAAATAGTGCCTACTGTTCATAATAGTACAGATAAGAGCTCAGGTAAGATATCAAAACCAGAGCAGGAAATCTGGAATGCAATCTTCACCAGCCATGCTTCTGAGGAGAAGCACATGACATTGAAAGACATTTCCCAGAAGAAGTAAATTGTTTATGTTTTAGTCCCATCTTTGGGCCTAAGATTTCTTTGAGTTTCTAGATTCATTTCTAAGTGTGCTAGATAATTGATTTATTTTTAAAAAATAACATTATGGCTGCATTAGTTTTATTGCAGACTGTTTTTCCAGAGAATGATTGTGCTGGATAAAGCAGGAGATCTAATTATGGGTATATAGAAACAAAGTCAGCATGGCTCACAATCTATTACTCATCATGCTTTTACCTTAATTGACAAAGAAGTGGAAAAAAATAAAAGGAACAGGTACTCTACTGTAGTAGGAATCAAGAGCAACCCAGATTTGCCTGTGCTAGTAAGGCTTCTTCAAACATCTGGAAATTTCTTTCAGTATAGAGGAGCCTGGATTAATTGATTGATCAAATTTTCTCCTCTAGCTTTAAAATTCTTCCAGTCTGTGTTTGAAAAAATCTTATGTGAAACCTTTGAATAGTTCTCCAACAAGTACCAACAAGTCCCATGAGCTATTCGTAGGTTAAACTGACTTAGTTGTTATAAACAATTCATTCCTTATAGCTTTATTCTGCATTAAACGTTGTTGTATGCTTTTTAAAACTTTTTACACTTTTACTCCGCAGACAGGAGCAGTTCCTATCCTGCTAAGTGGGACTAAGTGGACAAATGGAAAAGGCCAGCTATAGCTCTTCGAGAAGGGCACTGTAGAGTTCCCTATGAAGAGACCAGATTTTCCCTTTCTTACAGAAGTGACACTAATTTGCAGAACATTGTGAAATATAGAATGTTCTTGTTTTGCCTGAATTTTACTTGGAAGTGTATAGATTTTTACCTAAAGTTGGAGGTTTCACAAATATGTGAACTATGCACTCTGTGACCCTACCTCAAGATTTGACTGAGGGCTGGAGCGATAGCACAGCGGGTAGGGCGTCTGCCTTGCACGCAGCCAACATGGCCGACCCGAGTTCGATTCCTCCGCCCCTCTCGGAGAGCCTGGCAAGCTACCGAGAGTATTCGATAGGCCAGACACAGTAACAACAAAGTCTCCAATGGAGACGTTACTGGGCCCGCTCGAGCAAATCGATGATCAACGGGAGGGCCTTTACTTTACTTTACTTTACTTTACTAAATGCTTTGTGTTAAGGCTAAAGACCAAGATGGGGAAAATACAGCTTAGCATGCAAATGGATTTTCAAAGTTTCAAAATTTTCATAGTTATATAAATATAAAAATTGACAGAGCCTGGTAATTTCCCGTGGTGTATTCGGTATGCCAAATACAGTAACAATGATATGTCTCATTCCCGTGACCTCCAGTGCAGCACCTTTGGGAAGGATGAGTAAGGAGAGACTGCTGAAATCTCAGGGCTAGTGCGAATGCAGATGTTACTGGTGCTCGCTCAAGGAAATTGATGAATAACAGGATGACAGTGATACAGTGATACAAATAATACTGTTTTCCATCAACATTTTCCTCCCATTTTCCACCAAGCAATTTAAGAACTAATATCATTTACTTCTTTTCAGCCATCTTAATAATTTATTTTCTGAGAATTTAAACTAGTCTCAGAATATCATGGTTTCAGTGTGTCACATTTAGAAACCCTAGGGAAAGAAGAAGGAAAATAGTGGGAAGGTCTCAAACATTCTTTAAACAATACACATGTGTCTTAATAGTAAATTTTGGCAAAAAATACCAGGTTGAAATTCAGAATCTTTTATCTTGAGTTAAAGTCTTAGTAAATAATTTCTTACAACATTTTCTTAAAATGTTCACAATTTAGCATGTATTATAAATATACATGTATGTATGCGCATATCTAAAATAAACCACATAATGATGTGTTTCACATATATTCATAGATAGACACAGACATTTCCAAAAGAAACTACGGAATACTGTCAGAATAATAAAAGAATGCAAAAAGTGAATAGTTTGACTTCTGTTCTCAGAACTTTACTAACTCAATATCTCCTCCAACCAGAATGGCTGCAGTCTGTCCAGGCGACCATGATCCTGTCAATCATCTTCAGTGTTCTGTCTCTGTTCCTGTTTTTCTGCCAGCTTTTCACCCTTACCAAGGGGGGACGGTTTTATATCACTGGAATCTTCCAAATCCTCGCAGGTAAGTTGGTGACAATAAAATGTAGTTTGTAGCTCAATTAGTAAATCAATAGCAGAAGGTTGTGTCCACAGAGTGCTTTAAGTTCTTGTGTCAGTTCACTGGATAGGTTTTATTAAATAGAGGAAGTAGACTTCGTGGTGTGTGTGTGTGTGTGTGTGTGTGTGTGTACAAATAGCTGAGAAACTTGGAAGTCTTCATTTTTTAATGGAATGAATTTCTTGGGAATTAGGCTTAGAGACTCTGGAAGTATCTAATCAATTCAGACCTATCACCATTCCTTCCCTCCACCCCCCCAGCCCCGATAAGTTAGTTTGTACTCATAATCATAGATAAATGGTTAGAATGTCATTAAAGGAAAGGCCATTCTCAAGGCAGATTCCTATATACTATGTTATATCCCAAGAAGTCATCTCTACATGATGTGGGGAATGATCTGATGTGCTTCTGTTCCTGCTGAAATTGTTCTCTGGTCTCCCAGTACTAACTAGAGATAAGTCACACTGACAAATTCTGCTCTCTTTTAGTCCAACACCTAGACCCCATTGTGCTTTAACTCTCTGTTGTCATCCTCTTCTCCATGTTGTAACTTTTATGCAACATGCCATCATTCCCAAACATGGGACCATGACAACACATAAGTGTCTTTATTGTTTGCCTAAATTGCTTTCATGCTCTCTGATTTGGCAGATTATTTATGTATACAATATAGAGTCTTAGACATTTCTGTTGCAGAGGGTGAAATATTTTCTTTTCCTCTAGAATTTGGGTAATGTCTTTGTAACTTTGATGGGTTTTTCCATTGACTTTTAGTTGACTGAGTCAGCAGGGCATTGGAGATAAGAGGAAGTTGTGGTGGTGAACTGATCATTCAAGTTAAGAATTTACAAATTCCCTATGTATCAGAGTATGTATGGAATTTATTCTAGATGCTTTTTCTCTGAGTATACAAAGAAAAAGACCTCAGCATCTCTAATTTTAGTTGGGTATCAGAACATACATTGTTCTGAATAACCACCCTGCACTCAGGAGTTGAAAAGAGTCCCTATGTCTTTAATGGATGTATATGACAGAAGTAATGAAATACTTAGGGATTATATGACAAGAAATATGAGGTTGAGTGTTATGACTTTCTTGCTGGAAATATGAAGCAAACTGGAGAACTATTTCTAATTAAATGTTTGCATATATTTCAACATTGATGGTCTTGGTATTTTAAACCAAGCTAGAGCTTTGCTACTTCTGAAGTTTTATTATACAATATCAACCTCCATCATTATTTCTAACTTTCTTAAACCTCTACTCACACTGGAAGATGCTATTTATAGTTATATGAGAACCAGAGTTATAATTACTCCATTTACGGAAGTAATAATAGACTAGAATGTTTTCTGGGAGTTGTTTTTGGCTCCCAGTTTAATATGGTTTCAAAGACTGATTATATTCCTATGTCAATGGATATCCTCTTAAGATAAAGACACACAGACTTAGGAATCAGAACTTTCATAACCATTTTACATTTGACTAATTAAACTTAATTAATCAAACTTACTTACAAATAAATGGAACTAAGGGTAATGGAATGTTTAGACTCTCATGTCACATAGACTGAAATATAGTTGGTATCTCCTTATATTTAGAAATAAAGAATATGCTTAAGTTTTTAAGAATACAAAATCAAAGAAAAAACTCAATATTTATACTATCTTTTATTGAACCTGATATGCAATGGATGATCAATGAGAATTTGCACCAATTGCTATTCCTACATTCTCAGGAATCTGTGATAAGTAAGAACCTGCACTTTCAGAACTAACCTAAAAATACTGGTCTGAAAAGAGCTCATTGACTACTAAAGAGACTTCTCATGGTAGGAAACATCTTGATTTGTTTAAATCAAGGAACTTCAACTTTAACTCTTTTTAGAAATATAAAGTTCAGTCAAAAACTCAAAGCCCTTACATAAGACTCATTAAGATCTCAGTTCAGCCAAAAACTCTTAGTCACCTAAGTTCCAAAGTTTATTTATTAATCCATAATCATTTCATGCTTTTGAATCTTCTCCAAACTCAATACAAGCCTTTTAGGACTTGCTTATTAAAAACCCTGAACTTATGTGTTGCTTTTCTTTTATCTTTATTGAATCTAGCTGCTGATTTCTCACAAGACCTAATTTTCAGTTTGTCAGTTTAACGGTCTCTTATCTGAATAGAATGTTATCTGTATTGGGCATTTTGAGACAAGGCACAGTTGTAATATAGAAGTCCTAAGAATGTTTTGTTCTAATTGTTAGCTCCAGTCACAATTATTTGATAGTCTTTGAGGGCCCTAATTTCCCTAAAATATTGCATCTGAACTTGCTATGGAGTCTTGCCACTGAAGAAAGCTACAGGTTAGATCTTCATTTGGATATTTCTTGACTCTATTAGTATCTGGTAATTCTAAGCCAACTTCAACTGTTCAGTCCTAACTCACGATCTATTTAAAAGTCAGTAACTAATGAGAAAATGCAGATAGTGTTAATGGAGATGAGAAATGTAACAGCTTGACATGCTGCAGCTTATCATCAAGAAACAAGTCAGAAAAGTTAGACCAATCAAAAATCAACAAGCAGAAAGAAAAGGAAAGAGGAAGAAGGAAGAAATGAAAGTGGCCCCAAATTGTGGTCTGTAAAATTAAAAGTGTGCTGATGCATTAGCTCAGTTCCATGCAGGGAAGATGCATCTTCAGAATCCTGGATTTTCACAGATACTCCCTAAAAGGATATCACAGGATAGATTTTCTCTCTGAGCTTTCCTTTGTATCACCCAAACAAGGTATAGATCATACATGTACAGAAAAGTTATAAAGTATGTGGAGGTGTGTGGGTCTTTGGAAACTTTGGGTTTTGCTGTCTTGGCCTTATCTTAGATTAAAACTTTGTCTGTGGTTAGAGATTTGCCTGCTTTGCTGGATCATCCCTTATCCATTTCATAATAAGTCTCAGGTCTCTCGCTTAAGTATTATCTTTCTTTAATTACATACTTACGTCGGCAGCTTCCTGAAAAGGTATCAAGAGGAACCTTCTAATTCAGTGCTTCTCAAAGTTAGCTTCAAACTAGATTCAGCTTTTTTTTAGACGGCAGTGCTTTACTGGTTTTTATGCTTGTTTGTTTGTTTGTTTGAGGCCATACCTGGTGATACTCAGGAGTTACTCCTGGCTCTGTGATCAGAAATCACTCTTAGTGGCTCTCAGGGAATCATATGTGATGCTGGGAATTGAACCTGGATTAGTTGCATGCAAAGCAAGTATGAAAGCATGCTTTACTATCTCTCTGGCCCCCAGGAGGCAGTGTTTTTTTTTTTTCTCAATGTCAGTGTTCACTTTTCATCTCTAGAGACATCCAAAGAACTCTTGGGTAAGACCATTCCTGGTTTACTTGACACTTATCCATTAAACCCCTCTCCCCAGAAGGAGGCACTTTCCCTGACTGTGATCTTTATGGTAGTCACAAAAGTACACATTTAAGTCATTTGCTGAATCACTATGGGCTGGAGTGATAGCACAGTGGGTAGGGCATTTGCCTTGCATGTAGCCAACATGGTCGACCCGAGTTTGATTCCTCTGCCCCCCTCAGAGAGCCCGGCAAGCTACCGAGAGTATCTTGCTCGCACGGCAGAGCCTGCTAAGCTACCGGTGACGTATTCGATATGCCAGACACAGTAACAAGTCTCACAATGTTACTGGGCCTGTTTGAGAAAATCGTTGAACGATGGGAGAACAGTGACAGTGACAGTGCTGAATCACTCTACTCCTTTCAGTATTTTTACCTACTTTCTTGGAACTGTTTACTCCTTCAGCTTCCAAAACATTACAGTTTTCTCTGTTACCTGAGTTAATGAATCAGGCAGAGATTTCTTCTCCTCATCACTCCATATTCAGTTCATTATCCAATCCTATTCAAGTATCATGTCCATTTCTTTTCTTTTATTTGCTTTCTCTCTTTATTTTTTTTTTTGGCTTTTGGTGTTAAATATGCTTTACACCACAACCTCACTGAGTCACACCCAGTGGTGCCCAGGGCTTATTCCTCATTCTGTACTCCAAATCACTCCTGGAAGTGCTCACTGGGCTATATGGGGAGTGGGGCTGGGGTGAGGATGAAACCCAGGTTGGCTTTGCACAAGGCAAGTGCCCTATCCACTATACTATCTCTCTAGCCCCTCATGCACATTTCTTTTTCTTTTCTTTTTGACCTAATACTTTTCAAGTGTGCATGTGAACTCATGCATCCTCTTGCCCTGTCTTGTTTCCACCTCTAAATCCACTTCCTTCACTAATGTTGGAGTGAGCTTTAAAAACATGTCTGATCAAGTGTTAAGTATGCTTTCCACCACAGCCTCATCAAGGCAGACCCTCTCTCCTGATTCTTGGTGAGCCTCCAGCTTTATCTGACACTGCCCTCTCGTGGACTTATCATGCCCTGGTGGTTTCCATGAAGCTCCCTCATTTGTCCTTGCCTTGCTTATGTTTTTCCACTCTGAAGAACTGCTTTCCCACCTGTCTCCACCTGTCTCATGCATTATTTAAACCCAATCCTAGTCCATCAGGCTTCTTCAGGTACTCAATTTGAACCCAGCACCCATCCACATTATTTGTGCATCTGGTTACTTTCTCTTCCTCTGTTGAGGTCAGATCAGTCTTTCTGAACTATCTGTTTTGGGGGGGACACTTATCCTTTAAAGACAGGAGCGCTAACTTGTTGTCTCAGTTTCTTCAGCAGAGAGGATGTATGTATCAATGAGGTATATATAATAGATAGTATACATGCACCAGAAGCATATATAGACAGCTGTTGCATGTACCTATATACACTTATTACCCAGTCAAGTGAAATGGTAGTAAAGAATTGAAGGATTTTAATTTGTCCTATGATATTTCACCCTAGTTGTTTCTTTCTAGAAGTTCTTGACTCTAAGCCCTTACTTGTGGTAGCTACCACTATGAAGGGAGGTGTGAATGCCTCCCCCTTCAAAAAAACTTAGGGAGGATTTTCAAGTTTTCTCATGGGCTGGAGTGATAGCACAGTGGTAGGGCGTTTGCCTTGCGTGCAGCCAGCCTGGCCGAGCCGGGTTCAATTCCTCTGCCCTTCTCGGAGAGCCTGGCAAGCTACTGAGAGTATCTCACCTGCATGGCAAAACCTGGCAAGCTACCCGTGTATTTGATATGCCAAACACAGTAACAACAAGTCTCAAAATGGAGACGTTACTGGGCCCGCTTGAGCAAATCGATGAACAACCAAAAGACAATGACAGACAGAACCAGTCATCCTATGTCAGAAAAAAACTCTTGTGAATTCTCGAGTGGCCGGCACCATTCCATTGTCTGGACAGCATTGCACTCAAAGTTGGGATACCCTTCCAACTCAGGCACCCCAGGAGTCTCCTGCTCTGCTGACACATAGGCTGATGACCTGTGTGGGGTAGGACACCCATCATCTCAATACTCTCCATGGTGAACCTTGAGAGATGCAACTCTAACTCCTGCTGCCCGGAAACCAAGTCACATGTATAAATTTTAGGGACAATTCTATGACATTATCTGTTCTTACCAGGGTAGCAGTCAGTAGATTGTCAGGCACGGAGTCATTCTTTTTTGGTGTTGTTTCTGAGCATACCTAGAAGTACTCTGTCCTTATTCCTGACTTTCAGCTCAGAGTTCACTGCTGGCCATGCTCAGGGGACCGTATAAGATGCCCAGACTTGAACCCTGATCAGCTCTGTGCAAGGCCAATACCCTGCTCATTATACAATCACTTGAGCTCCAAGAGTCATTTCCCCCCTATATTCCAAGACCTATCTATTGCTTTAAGGACAGCCCTGTAATATATGTTCCCTAAAACATCACTCTCCTGAGAATTATAAAGTGTGTATCCCATCTTTGACTTTGTAAGTAATCTAAACTATTTGGTTATTGAAGGGAAACTTGAATTTATTTACTTCTATGATTCTAATATAGCAAGTGTCTTAAAAGTTAGTGATGTGGGTAGTGTCTACATTTGTGAATCCATTTCATTCCCTTCCTCTTGATTGTAAATGGTATCTTTCCTCTGTGTCAGTGAAATCTGGTCATAGTTATTCTGCATGGGTCCAGTCACAATTTTTTTTATCCCACTATAGAGACCTTCTTCATTGTTTTCCCCTTCCAGACTGTTTATATTCACTATTTCTCTTGTTCTTTTTTTTCTTTTTCAAAATAATGAACACTGACATTAGGTTCCACTTAGAGACAACCTTCATAGATTTTAAAGAAAAGAATTATCACTGTGTAGAGTTGAGCCATGGCACTATAGGGGAAGACAATTGAAGATTACAGACTTCAAGGCAGAAATTGAGTTTGTTAATAGCAGATGAAAACCGCAGCTTTCCTCAAAGGACAGCCAACGGTTTCTCTTCTGACACACACAGTCTTTGCGAGATCCTGAATTTTCAGTAGTTTCTGAATCCAGTGCCTCCTGCAGTTTTAAGAGCTACTTTCCATGTGGTGTGTGTGGGGTGGGGAGGGGCTTGCTGGGGGTGGGGGAAAGTGAAGTGGGAGTCTTCTCCTCTGACTTGCAGAAACAATATTATCGGGGTGGTGAATGTGACATATTTCCACTTCTTCATTTTGTTCAAACAAAGTTGCAGTGTCCAGCAGAATAGTCATCCAAATAGCACTGAGGTTAGATGTAGGTGGTCCAGGGCATTGGGAGCTTTGGGACTGCTGGAATCCCACACGGAGAGTTGAATTTATAATGGAGTCACACAGAACCTCTCAAAGACCTTGTTTTTAGGGGGAAACAGAACAGGCTTTGTGTAGGGCAGGCTGGGATGCTGACATCACTGGACCTTTCTTATAGGGAATGCTGACTATCATTGCGGGCTTGGACCATCACTCTTAAACTTGCCTGCTTTATGAGACCCAAGGTGTTTTTTCTCCTTCCCACACAAAAGCATGCATTGGTGGTAAGGGAGGAGTAGCTTGACCTCTGAGCTTCTGATATCTTTCACCTCCTTTTGGGCTTTTCCTCAGACCCAACCTTAAGGGAATCCAGAGCTGTTGAAAGGGACAAGGTGAAATGGAGTTTTCTCCTAATAGTCCCCTCCCTTTGCGCTTTACTTCCTATTTATATTCCATCCTTCTACCCTCCTGGTTTTCTTATTACCCTCTTTGACCCCTCCATATATCCCTTTGTATCCCTAGCATTGCTCACAGGCTTCCCTTATTCCATCTCTTTTGGGATGAACATGCAATTCTGCCCCTATGTTAAAGAGCTTAAATTTTTACCAAAAGATGATTCAGGTCATAGAAAAAAGGATAAGAACTGAATGCTGAAAGTAGGTAAAGGACCAAATATAATAATCACTCAGTCCCTGTATTGCAAACCGTAATGCCCAAAAGGAGGGAGGGAGGGAGGGAGGAAATGAAGGAGGGAGGGAGAATGAGAGAGAGAGAGAGAGAGAGAGAGAGAGAGAGAGAGAGAGAGAGAGAGGTGGGCAGGCTGGGGTAGAGGATAGCAGGAGGAATATTGGGGACATTGGTGGTGGGAAATATACACTGGTGGAGGGATGAGTGTTGCAACACTGTGTGACTGGAACCTGAGAATGAACAGATTTGTAACTGTGTATCTCTTGGTGATTCAATTAAAAAAAGGAAGGAAGAAAGAAAGAAATGCTGAATCAAAAAAAGAAAAAAAAATTACCTTCTCAATGGCTTCACATAATACTTCTGCCTGACTGATAGGTTGCTTTCCAGATTCCAGGGGCTCCCACACCAACAATTCTGAGTGTGGCAGGCTTAGTTTACAATCCCAGTGTTCACCGGTTCCTTCATTGTAAACTGGAAATTAGTGACAGTCAAAAAGTCAGAAATAGACCAGAAAATATGCTAAGGGAACTGCAGATGATGGCCTGGGACTCTCAGGTAAAATGCAGAAAGCAGATTGCTTCTTGTGTGACTGGCTGGCTCTCAGCTCTGGGTGTGGCAGTATGTTCTTTGCATAGCTGTATATGTTCTTTCAGTATCCCCTGCAACCAGTTTATTCTCCCTAAGAAAATATGGCATCCAATGAGTGTGTGTGTGTGTGTGTGTGTGTGTGTGTGTGTGTGTGTGTGTGGTATTGTGGCCTGGGCTGGGGTCTTGTGCTGGGTGGAAACTGTGTTGGGAGTGGTGTAGAACCTCTTCACCTCTGTCATGACATCTCTCTCACTCAGCCTGTTCTTTTCCTTCCCAGGTCTGTGTGTGATGAGTGGAGCAGTGATCTACACGGTGAAGCACTCAGAATGGCATTTCAACACTGAAAACAATAACTATGGTTTTTCCTACATACTCGCCTGGGTGGCTTTACCCCTGGCCCTCATCAGTGGCGTCATCTATGTGATCTTGAGGAAGCGTGAATGAGGTGCCCAGGCAGTCTCTCTGTGGCTCTCAGCTTACAGAGGGAGGGAGGAAGGAAACCAGAAAAAAATAAAAAAGAAACAAAGGAGGTAGCCACAAATCCCACACTCAAAACCAAACAGAAAGCAGTCAAGGGGAGTGGTTAGCATTGACTGAAGATGTATATAATATCTATGGTTTATGAAACCTATTTATAACACTTTTACATACATGTACATAGTACTGTTTGCTTTTTATGTTGACTATCAGCCTTGTGTTGAACCTTGTGTTGAAGTAGCTAAGGAACTTTACATTCTAACAGTGTAATCAAGCTCATTTTATTTTTTGTTAGTTTGTTTCATTTTCCATTGTTTTAGAAATGAAACAACTCCATCTCACTCCTTTTCATCTGAAAAAAAAAATACCTCCCTCCTATTTCACCTCTCTTAGAAAACCAAAGTGTGGGTTATAACCCAGAATGGCCAAAAATTCTTTCATCATGGGTAACCTAGTTCATCACACAGAGGCAGGCACTGCCCACACCTCTGCATGAAGCTTAATGCATGCACAGATGAAACCCTTCAACTGGACCCCTTGGCAAAAACATGTCTTGTGACCTGGGAATGCTTGCCCTGCAAGGTAGAAATCCTGGTCATTTATCTAGAGCAAATATCAGTGATGATAGACCTGTGAAATGGTGCTATGTATTTACCATTCCTTATTATCATTAATCATCTAAGCTACTCACTGGAAATTCAATTAACACTTTTACAAGGTAAAGTAGAAAAGAGACCTGAATAATTCCCTCTGATATAAATGGTTTGTAACCTCTTTTATATCTAGCTAGGCTGCTCTTATTACTATGATAAATAAATAACAAATAGCCCTTATCACTTCCCCATTTCTCATATGGTCAGAGCATCGGGACAAACCTAGACCCCATGGAACTGAATTCCCAGGGCTTAGATGGGTCTAGACTGTTCTCTGCTTCTAAGGACTGTCTGGCAATGACATGTATTGGCCACCACTTTAGGTGTATATATGGTGCCGTCTGATGCTAAGACTCCAGGCCTTTTATTATTATTTTTCTTTGCTTTTTCTGATTTTATACCAACTGTATGAACTAAGATGCATAAAAATAAACATAATAGTAACACAGATCTCTCTTGGATTTTTGTGGGGACCTGGTGTGTGTGTGTGTGTGTGAGAGGTGGGTATCAGGTCAGAATGAAGAGTTGAAGTGATTGAGCTGATGATCCGGTTGTAGTTTGGGATTAAGGAAACAAAACAAAACAAAATTAAACCAACTCTCTCTATAATATGCTGCCTTCTGTAAGTCTTTGAAAATGTCTGTTAATTACAGAGGACCAGGATTTACAACTGAAATTTACTACAAAGGACATTAGTGTTCATTTAGCTCAAATCTTTCTTTCATTCTTTGTTTTCTGGTCACCTATGTGAAAACTACAGAAGCATATATGGACCTAATGTATAGAGATGTTGGCACAAACAGCCCATATTCCTAAATTTTAGGAGGGAGAGAAATAGTATGGTAAAAAGTCTGCAAGATGGTGTCTAGAGACCAAACTTTTAAATAAAATATTAATTGATGCCAACTGAGCTCCTAACGTTCTGCAGAAATGATCTAGCAACTCTGTTAGTCAAGTCCATATTTCTGGACTATGTGTCACTCTTGCTTATTTCCCCGTTTAACCTTTTGCTATATATCTGTAGCACATCATGTTAATGATTCACTTAGTTGTCTTCAGTGTGTATTGAGCTGGGCATCAAAGGATCATAAAGGATGTTATAAATCTTAATCTAAATTATCATTTTGGGCCGAGATTAGTACCAGGAATTTTACTCCATGGCTTGGAGGCCAGGCCAGCCACACATGCTAGGGGAAAAGGGAGCTCAGATAGAGAAGGGAGCACCAAAGAAAGGGTGTTGGGAGGATCCTTCCAGGATGGGAGAAGCATGCGGAAAGTGGACTATAGACCAAACATGATTGCCACCCATTGCCTCTTTTGCAAAACCCAACACCCAATAGGAGAGAGAGAACAAAAGGGAATGCCCTGCCACAGAGGCAGGGTGGGATGGGGGGATGGAGGGTGGGAGAGATACTGGGATCCGTGGTGGTGGGAAATGGGCACTGGTGGAGGGATGGGTATTCGATCATTGTATAATTGAAACCCAAGCACAAAAATTTTTAAGTCTACAACTGTACCTCATGGTGTCTCACTAATAAAAAATAATAAAAAAATTCAAAAATTCAAATAGAAGCAGATTTTAAAAATAAATGGAAAGACCAAGAACATCAAAAAAATTAAATGAAATGAAACAAAAATTTAGTGCACATATTTTGATACCTAGAACAAGTAGATGCTTAATAAACTTTAACTATGTCATTAAAGAAAAAGCCCCTGAGCACCACTAGGTGGCGCATACATAACTAATGTGTACACAGAAATGCATACATAAATAAATATTAGTGATAACCTCGTTTTCTACTAGAAAATAAAAAGATGTTTAACCCTCAAAAAATATCATTTTGGTTAGAGACACAGGCAAACAAGTGTTATAATGAAGAGCACATACATTAAGCATCCTGACTTTAAGTATTCTGTTTACTATTTACGGACTGCAATGATGTTGAACAAGTCACTTAAATTGTAGGATTTCATTTCCTCATCTAGCATAGGAGAATAACAATACCACATTCATGAGATGTAATGATTAGGAAGGATTTTATATATATATATACACATATACATAAATACATATATTTAAACACATATATAATACTGAAGTGACTAGTAGGTAAAAAGTTATCTATAAATTAGTGACTCAGGGTCAGGATAATGAGACCCATTGTATTTACTGGTTTTGGCATATAGAATATGCCACGGATAGCTTGCCAGGCTCTGCTGTGTGGGCGGGATACTCTCAGTAGCTTGACAGGCTCTCTGAGAGGGATAGAGGCTTTTAGGGCAGCCTCTAATTGCCCTTGCAGGTGTTCCCATGGTCCAAACCATATTTGAACCCTATCAAATATGGTGCGGCAATCCTGGAAGATGGGTATTAAGTGTCTTATGACGTATCCGGCTCCTGGTTTTAATCTTTTGGTCACCTGTGGTTGGTGGGAGCAGGCAAAGGATCTTTGTTCCCGGGTCCATTGAGCCTGGAGTCCAAGGTCTCAGAGTTCTGCTTACCTGGTTCTGTAGGGCTTCACTCGTGTTTGAGTCTTGGCCTGAGTGTCCAGAAAGAGTCCTGGAGCATGACGGCGGCTGGGTAGTGGAGGTAGTGGAGGTAGTAGAGGTCTGCTGGTGAAGTATTTATCTGGTACCAGTAGGGTGGGTCATAAATTAGTGCTATTGAAAATTTTATCATAGAGGTGTTTTCTTAAATGAGTTCTTAAAACCAGAATTCACATAAAAATGTTCTATGTGGGGGCCCATGCTCTGCCTTAACAGGTTTCTAGAACCTTGTTAGATCTGATTATAGTGTCTTGTTAGGTCTTGCTAGGTCTGATTATAGTATACAAGAAGGAGTGAAAGTCTTTGAACTAGTCCACTGGTTGACTAGTTCAGACTTCGAAGATTTTTAAAAATTCACCTTGTAATCTAATAAATAGAGTTTTGGTTTCACACTCTTCTATACCATATTACTTCCATATCACTGTAGCACTGTCTTCCCATTGTTCATCGATTTGCTCGAGCAGGCACCAGTAATAGCTCCATTATGAAACTTGTTGTTACTGTTTTTTGCATAGCGAATACGTGACAGGTAGCTTGCCAGGCTTTGCCGTGTGGGGGGGATACTCTTGGTAGCTTGCTGGGCTCTCTGAGAGGGACGGAGGAATTGAACCCAGGCTGGCTGCATGCAAGGCAAATGCCCTACCCACTGAGCTATCGCTCCAGCCCTAAGTCATTTCCATGTAGCACTGTCCTCCCGTTGTTCATCGATTTGCTTGAGCAGGCCCAGTAATGATTCCATTGTGAGACTTGTTGTAACTGTATTTGGCATATTGAATATGTCACGGGGAGCTTGCCAGGCTCTGCCGTGTGGGTGGGATACTCTCAGTAGCTTGCCGGGCTCTCTGAGAGGGGCGGAGGAATTGAACCCGGGTTGACTGTGTGCAAGGCAAACGCTGCCCTACCCACTGTGCTATTGCTCCAGCCCCAATTCATTTCCATATAATAAATTAATTGTAAATATCTCTATATCAGCAAATACTTCATTCTTGTTAGTGTGATCTGTTTTATTCTTTACAAATTTTGCATTGTGGACCAAAGATATACCACATGATTAAGATGCTTGCATTGCATATGGCCAACCGCGGATTGGTCCCTGACACTACAGACGGATAATTCCTTGAACACAACCACGAGTGATACCTAAGTAGAATGCCTGGAGTCAGCCCCATATCTGGTGCCAAACTAAAACAAACAAACAAACAAATAAATATTTTACATAGTATTTTTATTGTGCATAATATAGGTATTCATATTATGAATGTAAATTTTTAATATATATGAGTTTCCTCATATATACAGAGTTTCCTGCCCTCGTGCCTGACTGTCCTCACTGGGGCTCCTTGGAGGGAGGCCAGGTTGAGTTTCCCTCTCCGCCCTGAGCAGAGCTCCAGCAGCTGAAACCTCCAGGACACAGCCAGAGCTATGCGGAGACCACTCTCCATATGCTAGGATGAGCCTCTCACATGAAGGAACCGGCAGAGGAACCCAGGTGTGTTGGACCTGGGGCTGAGATCTCCAAGTCTGCTCGGATTAGGACTGGGCCTTCTCCACCCAGATCCCCCATCTCCAAGTAGCTAGACGTTACACCCACCAACTACTGTGTAACCCCATCAACAACCAAGATCCAGAGACTATAAAACCAAGCTCCCAGAAGCACACGGCCACCCATGTGTGACCTCTTATTGTGTAGTTGTCACTCTCAGAGAAACTGGCAGGCTACTGAGAGTATCCTGCCCACATATATGCCTGACTGGGAGCACCTGTAAAGATGATCAAAAGCTGCCCCAAAAGCCTTCATCCCTCTTGGAGAGACCAGCAAGCTACCGAGAGTATCCCGCCCACACTGCAGAGACTGGCAGGCTACCCTTGGCATACTCGATATGCCAAAAACAGTAACAATGATGGTCCTCATTCCCCTGACCCTGAAGGAGCCCCCAATATGCCATCGGGCTACACTAGCATGTGACAGGGTTGAATGGAGATGTTACTGGGGTCCGCTCAAGCAAATTGTTGAACAATGGGGTGATAGTGATAATGATATTGAATATAGGTATTTATCAATCTCTTGTTGAGTGGTACCTTGACTGTAACCTGGTCTTTATCATTATTAAAAATGTTTTTGTGGACATCCAAATGCATGAATATTGGTGAATATTTTTAAATTTTTATTTTAAAATTTAATTTTGTCTTAGGTATTTTGGTTTACAACATGCTTAATGTTAGGGTTTTGGGCATAAAGTATTTCAGCACCACACCCTCTACAAATGTGTTCACTTTCCTTCACCGTTGTTCCAGTATCCCTACCCTATATTTTAAGAAAATATTGTAACATTTTGGGCTGGAGCGATAGCACAGCAGTAGGGCATTTGCCTTGCTCGCAGCCGGCCCAGCCGAGCTGGGTTTGATTCTTCCACCCCGCTCAGAGAGCCCAGCAAGCTACTGAGAGTATCTCGCCTGCACGGCAAAGCCTGGCAAGCTTCCCGTAACGTATTTGATATGCCAAACACAGTAACAACAAGTCCCACGATTGAGATGTTACTGAGTCCACATGAGCAAATCAATGAACAACAGGAGGACCGTGACCATGATTGTAACATTTTATAAGCTATAGGTATGAATTTATACATATTATAAATCAACATGTATGTATATAAACTGCTAAAAGTAAAATTCTGTTCTTCACCATACAAGTAATGATCTTTTTTTGGATTTACGCATCATAGATATGTTATAAAAAAGAGCAAAATGGAAATTAAGTTGTTGAAATGTTTAAGAATTAAAAATTCATCTTTACAGCATACAGCCAAAGAGAAGGGCCACATGGAGGGCTGGCTCCACAGCTCCCGGAGAAAAAACCAGGTTCCAAAAAGAGCCAAGATCATCGGGAAGTCCCAGATGGGG